CTTAACATCTAACTGCCGAGGAATAACTACGAACTCTCCCTCTTTATCAATAACTAATAGTCTAATGATCTTCGAATTTATTAATTCTCTAATTTCTCGAATATCACATTTTTGCGCCGCTGTGAGGTTAGAGATATACTTTCTATTACGATAGTGGACAAGGGTTTTGAGAACATCGTCCGGAAACATGCGAAACCTTGTATGAATTTCGACATTTGGGTCATGCTGTCTGAAGGACGCTCTGGGGAAAGGAGATGGCGGTAATAGCGCCTTTTCTTCAATTTCATTTTTGTTGTTCATACAAGCTGCATGCGACAGAGTCCTACGCACAGTTACTTTAGAAATCGGTGGTGATGGTGAAAAACTTGGAGTCAATACTAGTAGTGAGGGCGCGTTCTCAGGTAAGGCTATGCCCACATGCACGGTGAGCGCAGATATTCTTGGTGCACTAGCAACCCTATTTTGACTATTACCAGAAGCGTAAATAATTCCATTGCGATTGTTTCCTGAAGCTGAGAAATGTGAAAACTTTTTTTTGAAACTTGATTGAAAAAACTTGAAAACTCAAAAGATTTTCGAATTTTCGCTGTAAGGTTATTTTGGCGTTAGACCTAATAATATCGCATATCAATATTGACCCACCAACTATTCTCGTCCAAAGGCGATTCTCCAAATACAAAGCACAAAAATGCCCCTTCGTCGTACACTTCTTCATTCTGGAAAACATTTCGTTCCGCTTGCTTCGTAGTGCACCTCGAAGTAGTTCCATTTCGATGCCTCGTACTTGACGGCCGTCCTTTGGTTGACCGCATATATCGTGAAGTCGTTTTCGTTTTATAAACTCCGGCACGACTCGATGTTGAAAAACAGCGGCGCACAAAGATGAACCCCTTTTCGTGATACAATGAATCCCTCTATATTTAAAGCCTTCTAGTTAATTTGTCTGCAAAGCACGCATGGCCTCATCGCGTACCCTTAAAAGGCATTTCTCGAATTCAGTGGCGCCTAAGAGACGCGCCACCGCACGTCACCTCGAAAGACGTGCGGCATGCAGCACTTTCAATCCGCCTCAGAGGTGGCGCAGAGGCAGGCTAATGCACTTCAGCTCGAATGATGTGCGAATACTGTTCTAGGGCGTCGGACAGGGCTCGAATTAGCGTCCTTGCTTCGTGACCGACGCCATCACTAACCACTGCGTCATCACCTCCCTTCACACAGACGTTACTTGCATACGTGGATGGTCCGTCTTAATGAGTTGTGCGGAGCTCAGCAGATTTACCATTCATTTCTTTTCCTAGCAATCGTCGCGCATAGCGGTGGTTTTACTCGAACATGGTGGCGCATTTGAGTCCCATACTATGATCCGAAAACAACTGCAGCTGTGGATGCACCCGATTAACTTTGTTTACGAAAACGTCTTCCTAACGTGTAGGCGACCGTCCTAGGCACGTTTGCATTCTCGTGGAATTCGGTGAACAGTTCTTTTCGTCCATTCATCGTCTTTTCTTCCCATCATGTGACCCTCGCATCTATATTTTGCTATTGGTGTATATTCTCCTGGATCTCGGAGATAAGACGGATTCTAGGGCTTCGCATTCCGGCTAGGTATTGAGAGTGGTGGTTATATTTCGGAAGCCATCGCTTAAGCGCTCTTTGAGTAGTGCGGAGTGCTCTTGATTTAGTTGAAGTATCAACGCAGGTCTCTGCAGTATAACAAAGCCTGAGTGGACCGTCGAATCGAAAAGGTGAGTGGGGATTTTCGAGCCTTTCATTTGGTCGGTGGCTTCTTTTCGAGGCCTAAATACATACGACCCAAGTTGCTCTCGTTCTACTGTGTAGTTAATCCTTCATGTTTTTTTCCATGTTCATTGATCCCCAAGGTATACGTACAGGGTGCTCTCCTGCAATCAGATGGCCATCCAGTTCAATTTTTTGCCTCCATACCATGGGTTTTTCATGAACTGGATCCTCTTCCGATTTATACGTATCCCGATCCTTTTTCCGTTTCGTTGAGCTCGTTGATCATCGTCACACAAACATTATAACGTAAAATTCACTAAAATACATATCAACCAAGTAGGAACTAGATGCAACGAATGGCAAAATATCTCAGTTCGGATTGCTTCAATCTGCTCGTAACGGGTTAATTATAAAGGATACACATTATAATCTTGTATATGAAGAGTGTAAATTGTGAAGCTTGGGGAGCTGTAATAGCTGCAATTCTATGTAATCTGTGTGTAAGAAGTGTACACTTGAAGAGGTTGTGGACTGTGATAGCCGCAGAGTGCGTTTTTATTTTTATTTTATTTTACACGACCCATCTTTACATTTGCTGTGCGGATCCAAATACTTCTGGCATCCGATTCGTTTCCTCAGTTTCACCAACTGGTTGTTGCTTGATAATTGCCGTATTCTTCACAAATATAGTAGAATGCTGGTCATGTCGATTCTCCTTGGAGTATTGAGATAATCGGGATAGAGTGTCCCCATTTCGATTGCAGAGACTGAACTGTTCCCAAACAAGTCTGCTACTATTTTCTCGACGACAGGACTAAGCTCGGTGAGCCATGCGCAGGACCGTACCAGCGCCCTGCTCACGGAGAATATTATCAATATCATAAGAAAGGTTAATTATAAAGATGGTATTGTCATAGAATTTAAACCAGACGAAAAAACTCGTGCGGAAAACAGGTCTTTTTATATATTCCTAAGCGTATCATAGTCTTCTTCGTTCGACGCTTGTCATAACATATGTATTGACCTGCTGTATAATCTGTCGAATGACTAAAAATCGCATAACAAAGATAAGATATGCTCGGCGATAAAAATAGCCGGAAATAAAGAAGCACAAACCACTCATACCGGCCAATTTACCATGGATCGCGTGCACATCTCATCAGTGGTTTAGCGAAATACAACCACAACGTTGCTGAGATATTTGCAAAACTCTGGACCGCAGGTGTCTATGGTGGGGAACGAACGCGCTATTATCCTTTCCGGGGAGTAACGCGTTCACCACCACACCATGCGGGTCCTTTGTTTCGCACGTCTCTCAGCTATTTCTATCGATCTTTTTGCCACAGCAATCACCCGTCAGCGGGGTTGATCTGGGGAGCGCAAATCGGCATAGAACCCAGTTAAGCTGCCGCTGTAATTGAAATCACAATGTTTAACGTTTTGTTTTCTGCCTTCCATAATTTTCATGGCAGGTTACTAAGCGAAATACAACCACCAATGTTGCTGAGATACTTAGCGTTAATAGCAAATAGCCCCCCTTTTGCAAACATCTCAGCAACGTTGTGGTTGTATTTCGCTTAGTAACCTGCCATGAAAATTATGGAAGGCAGAAAACAAAACGTTAAACAGTGGTTTAGCGTTTTATAATGGTGAGAAGGTGTCATTAAGTTTGAAACCTCAGTTCATAAATAAACCAAAGATATCCCTGCCGCCTCGAAGTTAACGAATGTCGGAATTACTCCATCTATACAAGAAGAGATTGCCTTAAGACTCGTAGTAACGATTAAACTTGTCCGACTTTACTACTTATAGTTCTTAAATGATCAACACTTCTATTGCACTACTTTGCAAATTACAATGTATTAAAGGCAACTCCTGTGCTCTGAAATCTGGTAGGATGTCTATTGCATAAAAAGTACCCATTTTCGCTCGAATAATATTATTATTATCCTTTCCGGGGAGCTCCCCAGATCAACCCCGCTGACGGGTGATTGCTGTGGCAAAAAGATCGATAGAAATAGCTGAGAGACGTGCGAAACAAAGGACCCGCATGGTGTGGTGGTGAACACGTTACTCCCCGGAAAGGATAATAGCGCGTTCGTTCCCCACCATAGACACCTGCGGTCCAGAGTTTTGCAAATATCTCAGCAACGTTGTGGTAATATTATTATTATTACTCCAACGAAGGAGTGTTGCACGTGTGTGTTGCAAGGCCTTCCGACCACTGCGCTCCACGCGCCCGTATTATGTATTACATTCGTTATAGTTATTTGTTGTTACTAGTGGCGCGTGTGGCGCAGTAGTCGGAGGCGCCCTGCAACACACACGTGGAATCGATCCGACCCCCGGGCCCGTGGCCCAACAAGCTTTCCATCCCTCCGGGGTCGGCAAATTGGTACCAGACTTGTCTGGAAGGATAGCAGCACTGGCTCAGTACATCGAAAGGCCACCGCGAGTCATTGTAAAGGCCAGATATGCATTCAATCACCTCCAACGATGCTTAACGGAGTCTAATCCATGGCGCACTCTCAGGGATAGGTTGACGCTGACAGATTTATTCATTTTTTTATAATTACAGTGTCGTACTTCCTCATTAAAGGAAACAGTGAACTATTATTGTTTTTATATGGCAAATGAAACCAAAAACGATGGGTATATATGGGCTCGGCGAAGAATCAGGCGTCGTGTTGATGTCGCAGCCAACGGAAACCAGACACGGCGAACGTTTGCTGCGGCCGTATTCGATAATCGGCCATTGCTGTTCCCCACCATATTGTGATCTGTCGATCGATTCTGCAAGGCTTCATCAAACTCCCGAATTTTAAAGAATCTGCCGAAATCGCATTTGTCTAATAGAGAGCCACGTAGTGTATAAATTTGGCTTCTATGTCTTCAGAGTTCATCCCATTATGTAGACCATGTGAGAAGAATGACATCTGTAGTTCTCGCAGTAGAATTTCTTCTTGTGTTGGTCGTGCATTGTCTGCTATTTGTATTATGAGGACGCTTTCACCGCACTTTATTTTCAGTTACTTGTAACATTCACTTCCGTATGTTAAACACTGAAGTTCAAAGTCATTGACGAGGACCATTCGGATCGAGTTCTTCGTGTAAATCGCTCTTTCAGTTTGTTGTTTACGACGTGGCTGTCTATTGTTTTGTAGTTCTGAGCGTCAGCCCTCATAATCGAAATGAAAATTCCTTGCGGAACTGATGGCTGTTGAGGTCCGTTTCGCCAGTACTGCATCGGTTCATCGTTAATGGATGAAGAGCTGGTTCCGAAAGAACTGTCTTCGCCTCGTGCAGATGCTGAAGGCATTCGAATGAAATGTATGGCTGATTATGAGGTACCTTTTTCGTTTACATTCCTTCTAAGATGGACTGTGTCCAAGTGGTCCGTTTGTCGATGTTTCATTAGACTTTTACCGGATAGTTTTATGAGTTGTCAGATTTGAACAGAAATCCCACCACAGTTATAGGTTAAAAGTGAAATTGGTGAGGGATCGTTCAGTATTGTGTATTCGGCTGTTGAGAAAGCTGAGCCTCATCGTCAGGTTGCCATTAAAATGTGCTTCAAAAAGCAAATCCTGAAAGAAAAGCGGGTTTGTTGGATAGAGATTTTCAGTATTTATGTTGTTATCACTTTATACAAGTCATTTTACATTTTAGGTTGCTGCGATCCATCGTGAAAAACGAGTGCTTGCTATTTTGTCGTCAACCGAGTTTCAACATCCTTTTATTGTAACTCTATACGCCACATTTCAAGACATGGAGTACTTGTACTTTGTTCTTTCCTACGCGGAATGTAAGACAGTTCAACGTTTTGTACAAGTTGTATGGCTTCGCCAGTTCCTTCAATTTTCATTTCTGTGAAGATGAAACCGAGCAAACCTATGTACCAGTGCAACACTTTTTTCGCCTAAGCTCATGCTTTCGAGAGTTTGTGTTAAAAGTGTCAAATTGATCTAGGATTTAACGTTTTGGATTTGACGAGATTTGTCTAATCTTTGCTCGTGCTTCTTTCTCAGCATGATTTTGTATTGGAGTTTTCTCAGATGGAGATCTTCTTCACATCATGTTGAAGAGACCGGAAAAGCGCTTCAGCCTTGAAGACTCCCGTTTCTACGCCGCAGAAGTCCTATCAGCCCTTCGTATGTTCATTTTCATCAGCGGCATTTCGAGATCTTCTGCATAGCAAAGTGTTTTTTGCTATTCGAGTGACACTCAGTCCATCGTATTGCGGCACAACTTTGAATCCCTAATAAACCATATTCGTCAGTATCTCGCTTTTCAAGAGCCTAGTTGTCAATGCTTTATTTTCCTTGGCTTTACTCTAGTTTTATTTCCATTTTCAGAACATATTCACTCCTTATCGTTTGTACATAGAGATGTAAAACCTGAAAACCTTCTAGTATCGGCCAGTGGTCACATAATGTTATCCGACTTCGGCAGCGTTAAGGACTTATCTCTTAAGGTATATCGTTGACCGACAGATCGCATATTTATAAGCTGTACTGATTGCACTGTTTATTTATGTTTTAAGGAAGAATTTACTAGAGAAAGTACGGGGAGACCTAAAAGGCGGAGTTCATTTGTTGGGACAGCTCAGTATGTTAGCCCAGAGGTAACGAAATTACGTCCATATGTCCTTTGATTTGGTTATAGCTCGTAATAGCGACTTCTCGTATATCGTTGTTTTGGACACTTCAGGTCTTGGAAGGTAGACTTGTTTCTCCAGCTACAGATCTTTGGTCTTTTGGAGTCGTTATCTACCAATTTTTGACAGGTTGTTGTTTCTATGCGTCCCTACAGCTCTCATGAAACTTATCGTGACTGCAGGTAGGCACTTGTTCCACGACGAGTCTGAGTATTTGATATATAAACGTATTAAAAAGTTACTGTACTCTTACCCCTGTGATTTCCCAATCTCTGCTAAAGATTTCGTCGATAGCCTGTTAAGGACTAAGGTGACTTTAGTTTTTTTTTCTAATTTTGTGGTTTCCCATGGGGTGAAGAATTTTAAATGTATATTGTAGCCAGAAGATCGGCTTGGAACGGAGAAATCGGGTGGGCCGGCTGCAATACGTAATCATGAGTTCTTCATTGGAATAGAATGGGACAATCTGCCAAACACTAGGCCACCACCTATTCAGCTGTAGTAGCCATTGTTTTTTCTACAGAATATTCATTTTGTACAATGTAATTCTTAAAAGTAAATCATAATGTGATGTGGTGTCGGACAACTTATTCATTGATCACATTCATTCCTGTTATCTGGTTGACATACTTATGCATACTTCGTTGACAATGTATGATTGTCTAGTTTTCATCTAACTACAACTTTACGTGTAACTACTAGTTTTAGGTTCCAGAGACGTGGAATGGCAAAAGTTATAAGAAGTGGGTATTTAATGTTGTGTGCTTGCTTTTGGATTTCAACTTCATAACACATTATTTTTTCGATCGATGGGTTTACCGACCCCATGGCCGGTGGTATCGTTATCTTCCACGGAGAAACGATTCTGTGAAAGAGTTCAACTATGAAGCAGGAGGCTCGTTGTCTGAGTTTAAAGAGGAAATGGCCAGCGAGGTGTTTTGTTTTCCGTCTTTTTTTTGACTGTCTTATTGTTATAGTCCCCAAATATAACCATTGCTATTGTTGGAATGTGAATATGAGCCATTGCAGCTTCACGAGGAAGCCAATATTTCCGCTCCGAAATTGTGGATGGCGTGGCTGTACCGCGATCTAAGTGGTGAGCCATACTGGACAAAGAAGCGCGTTATGAAGCTCTTCGGCACTGATTTTGTGGTGAGAAATGCTTCTTTTGCTTCCTCTTCATTTCATCCTGACGCCCTATTTTTTTAAGCCTAATTTAGTTTTTTCCTTCAAAAGTTCGTAGGCAGTCAGAACTTTCATGCTCAGAGGTCCAGATACCCATGACAGTTCTTACTTATGAAATCAAGACGTTCATTTCGGTGTCTTTTTTTGTTTAGTATATGGAGAAATCATTGGATTTGCTATGTCTTTTTTACTACTACTAAAGCAACACAGAGAGTCCTACCATTATTCTTTTGGACACTGAACAAAATTTTTTCGAAACCGACTTTCCTTGAACCTCGGTATCACTAATCAATATGTATTCTTCCTTTGATGAGCTTACACGAGGTTGATAGGAAGAAAAAAAAGTTGTTATCACCGGACATTATCATTATATCGACCATCAGCATCGCGTATAAAAGGGCAACCTGACTCGACAAGAAGGCGAAGTTGCCACATCGATACGAATAACAAGCATGGAGCATCGACTCGGATCATCGGCTCTGAGAAAGACGAAGACGTCGAAACGTTAGCCGAAAATAAATATCATTATCAACCTCGTGTAAGCTCATCAAAGAAAGAATAAAGCTGAACAAAATGTTTTCCTTTTCTTTCTATTTTGAATTCTGTGCAACTTCTACCTTTGAATGTGTCGTTTTCTTGCTCAGCAATCGCGAGGTTTTTAAACAGCATACATTTACTTCCATAAAGAAAACACAATACAATACAACGCTAGCTGACGTTTCGGCAGTATCGCCTTCTTCAGAGCCTGGAAGGGTCTACCTTTCTACCTTTGATATATTGTCATTGTCTTGAACAGATTGACTAGGCCTTCTAGGTGTTCACATTTTTCATCTCACTTGGTTAGTTCTAGGTTGGACGAATGGATGTGTTTCCGAACACATCCGCTTTCAACGAGGAATTATGGCACATAAAGCACCTTATTGAGTTGAAACCTATAACATTTCCTGATGGAGAGCCAACTTCCGACGATATGTTTTCCGTGGAAGTAGGTTCTTTAATCACGGTTTTCTTCCCTATCTGGACGTCATCGTTATTGTTTTTGTTTTCACATTTTGCCTTTTTCTTCGTAGCACTCTTATATCTAACGGTCATTTGTTGTTCTGAACACAGGCGTCCTTTTACGTACTTATGCCTATAGCTCGGTCATTTCTGTTATTGAAGGAGGTAAATATTCGTTGTTACTTCATTGTTTGTTTTCATAGCTGCACCCAGATGGACGATGTCAGATTGCAAAGGATGGAACTCAAGTTGACGTTGAACAGTTGAAACTAACTGGTCTAAAAAAGCAGGTGGAGTAGTTTCTCCTCACCGATTTTTACTTTTATTAAAAACCGTTCTTACACATTGGTAATGGAGGAAATGGAACTTATATATATTGCGTTCCTCTTAGTACATGCTGCAGTCAGTATGGATTTGTTTCATAATAGATTACAACACTCTGTTATCATAATATTGCAGTGGTCACCGAAAGAGTTGACTAGTCAGCTAGCAAGTAAGTACTATGGATGCAAAGATGTGTTCGAGACCAACGTCTATACGAACGCCAACATCAGCATTGTAAAATGATCACTGTGGTTGTATTTGTGCACTTCAATTCGTTAGGTATTTTTGTGGTTCAGTATACTACTTCTCGTTGTATGGCATGATGAACGTCTGCACATTTTTGTTCTTACTGGCTTTTGTCAACGACGAAAACTGGAGATTTCATACCTCTCTACGTTTTGAATTGCTACACACCATGAACAAGGAAGTCGTAAAACTATACATGGTCGTATAGAGTCATACCTAGATTGGCTGGTCACACTTGTCGTACAGGCATGAGCGCTTGTTTTGCTCATTTCGTTTTCTCGAAGATAGTATGTGAAATCCCTTGCTGTCATTCTAACCTTGACTTTTCGTTAAGCCGTTTTTTTCCTTCGCGATCGCTAGAAGAAGTAATTAACCAAAAGTGGAATTGATCTTCCAGCCTTAATTGATTATGGCCACCATATGGGATATAAAAATATAGATAGAGTCGAAATATTCTTTACTAATGCTGTAAAACTACCCAACATTTTACCTCGATTATGGGCGCGTTTCTTCTTCACCGATCACTAAAAGTGAAAATGTTTCGCAAACATTTGAGAAATGCACATAAGAACACTGAAGGTGCTTAAAAGGATAGATCATTGAGGATGCCTACTTCTTAAATGATACACAATTCTACCGTCAATTCAAAGGTTAATAATTCACATAAGAGTTCGTGTCGAATCGCCCTAAATGTACATAAATGACAATCGAAGGATTTAAGAAATAGTCAAGGTGGAATCTAACAAGAAGTGACCACTTCTTCTTCACAAGGAAGGCTAGAGAATAACTCCTTTTCGAAGCACTGCAACTGTTTCATGAATCCACAGTTCGGTCGGACTTCTAAAAAGTGTCTTCAGTTACGACCGTGTCAATGAAGAGAACCAATATGCAAAATTTCATACTAGGCCTGATTCTTCTGACAGTTTCGAGCGCACACTGTAACGACATGCTATGATGTATCATCAAATAGGCAATGACAAACGTTGCCGACCGAGAAATACCAGCGTTGCAGTGCACGAGCACCTGCGAGTGGTTGTACAGTATGAACATACATCATCATATAAACATTTAAGACTTTGAGACTGTCTAGTATCCTTTCGTTTCTAGCTTTCTACTGTAAACATATCGAAGTATTTCTAAACGCAATTTCATTTAAGAAAGTTTAAAAAAGGATAGCGCTCTCGGCGCTGATTAATTCCTGAGGGATGCGTCATACATTCGACTTCACTAAGCATCGTTGGAGGTGACCGAATGCATATCTGGCCTTCACGATGATTCGCGGTGGCCTATCGTTGTATCGAGCCAGTGCTGCTATCCTCCTAGACAAGTCTGATACCAATCTGCCGAACCCAGAGGAATGGAAGACTTGGTGAGCTTGGGGCGCGGGGATCGATTCCGTGTGTGTTACGAGGCGCCCCCGACCATTGCGCTACACACTCCCCAATTATTTGTTGCTGTCCTGGTGGTTTCAAAATGACAATTGGTTAGGAAAAGTTCTGATGAAGTAGCTTCTTTCAATTTCAACAATTTAACAATGTCACTTGTCATACGTGTTTCTGGATATTATTGTTCCACAGAATTGCCTGCATCCGACTGATCATCGCTACATCAGTAGCAGGATCTCTTTTTCCTTATCTATTTTGTTGATCTTCTCAAAATGTTCGTTTGCTGTAGTGGCGCTGCCAGGATTGAAGACGTATGGTTAACGATCCTACCTGCCAAGCAAAGAAAAGGCATCACAGTTTTCTGCAAATAACATTCGTGTTTCGTTACAATGTATTTGTCCAACCTTTCGCATAATGTGGTTATTCTACATGATACAACATTGGCCGCTTGTTTCACAAAGTAGACGGATGTCCTACTCGTAAGAGAGTAAATGTAAGAGCACGGTTCTGAGGAAGGCGAAATCGCTGAAACGTTAGCCATCGACCAACAACAACGACAAAGACAACTTGTGCCAACCCTGCATCAGCTCAACGAGATTGGCTCATAAGAACACATAAATGAATAACCGGATAGCTTTTATTGCGCCAAAGAAGTGCAGAAGTGACTGGAGTGTGATGAATTCTCTATGGTCCGTTCAGTTCATCGGTCGAGATCCTATCCTAGTTCCCAATTCCACTGTACTGTATTCCGAAACCTTGCTCTCACTCTTTCGAATATGTGAAGGTGTAACGTCATCAGCGGATAACGTCCTCTTATGCTCGTATACTATGTCAGCGCGTCGTCAACATCCATCCAACTCATCCTAGAAGCTGTCATCTCTATTACGAAACTCTCTAAACCAAGGAGCACAGTTTGTTAGTGATTTCTTGCCAAATGAAATGCTGATGTTTGGTGGTGCTCCATTGGTTTTACTTCCGCGAATATATTCGTAGAACAAAAATCATTACTATTTGTCTCTTCTGTCTAATTTTCATCCGTATTTTAAACAGGTAACATGTCGAAATAAAAACAAACAAGCATAAGTATATGGTGCGAGCACTGCAGTTTCCAACGATATATGATAAAATAAAGGATAGAGCTCTCGACGTTGATCAATCCCTGAGGGAAGCGCCTTGCATTCTGCTTTACTAATCATCGTCGGAGGTGACCGAATGCATACATCGTCTTTAGAATGACTCGCGGTGGCCTACCGATATAGATTGACTCGCGGTGGCCCACCGATCATTCCTACACCTACCATGCAATGGTCATAGAGCGAGCAGTCATTACAAATTGGATTAAAACAAAATACCTTTCCTCCACCTCCGACGCAATTTACCATGAATCTACAGACTTCATGAAACTTGGCCATGATATCAGTCGAAGGCAGATCCAATACTTCCAAATTATAATATGTGAATTTAGTAGGATAATAGTTCATAACACCGGTAGCACAGTTTACAATATGCGTAATTCCTTCAGCTTTGAGGATGGCCAACTCACTGGCGACATCTTGACTCCCTGAATAAATTCACATCATATGAAAATATGAGAGTTAGGTACCGTGAAAACTATAACTGGCAATCAAATACTTAGTTACTTGGAAACTTCGATGACCTGTCCTCAATGGTTGTGGAGGCCCCCAAATAATTTCCTTTTTCTAGGAGTTTTGCTCGTTTAGCCACAGTGGTTCCCTGGAGTCTCGAGGTCAGCCTGGCCAAAGTCTGCCCCACGCCGTCACCACTCCAGGCAGTTAGCGCCCTTGCGGATCAGAGAGAGGTTTGCTACCATGCAACTAGTTTGATACTAGGATAGGACGGTGGTGGATCCTGGTATTAGTTTACCCTTAGCTGGGCTTCCTGATGAAAACGCCGGACTCCTCAGCTTGGAAGGCCCTGCGGGGGGGATGAATCCCCCGCTGTACCTCGTAGCCGGGCACCCAAGAACATCTCCCAGCCACGATGAGGCGATTAGCAGTTAGGAGGATTAGAAATCAAGTACGAAACAGAATTGCAGCAGGAGGATTGGTAATCAAGTACGAAACAGAATTATAGCATAAGTTTAAAACTGACTGGATCAAAAAACTGGGTTATTGTGTTAATTGTTGGCAGTTATGGAAACTTCACCCGCACTTAAGATATCGCAATAACCTGGATAGAAAGTACTTCTGCCAATTGATTTGTACATATCCTCAACAAACTAGGCCCATGCTGATGACCACTACAACGAACGAGGCACCACTTTTCCGGCCAACTTCAAGCCGATCAAGCCCATGATCACTTCGTATGTTCTTGTTGAGGAAATCCCAGTGACCTCTTCCGCCTGACTTCTGTGGCATTTTCCGAAGAATCTGCATCATTACGTAATTTTTCCATAGCAATAAACTTTGCTCCCGGTGCGTAACAACATAGCTAAAGCAGGCTACCTTACCTAGGTATACCCCTTGGCAAATCTCAGCGAGTTGCAAGTCCGGCTGATTATCGATAACGAATCCTGCTCTACGGATCCGTTCTATTTTTTTGATTCGTCTGTTTGAAATACCTGAAATACCAAGCCATGTCTGAACACTGTGTGCTACTACCATGGAGTAACCCGAACGGTAACCACCTCAACACTCAACAAGACCATGAGGCAGGGAACTGTTAGGTTCTTGTTACTGTGTAACCTTAGCATATATAGAACAACTTAATTTTAAGAAACTTCAGAGACCATCGAAGGTACTGTTTATGTAGTGGATGAAAGGTCCCTTGTGTCCTAGCATCATACGAACAGCAAATGACTTCGCCAACTTTGTCGTACATAACTACTAAACAAGACCTACCAGGAACCACTTCGTCGTCTTCCACGGTACTGCTGACAAACGCACCAGTCTCATCTCTGTGCTCAATCACTTCTCGTCCGTCCTCAAGCACTACGCTGAATGAACAAGGTCATCTGCAGAAAAGAAGTGATCTGAACAAGTATGTCACATTCCTAAGTCATAAACTCTTTGCAGGTCAAAACAGTGAACCGCTTCAATATTCACTGATAGACAGGCGGAACGAAAGACCCGAATGGTGTGGTGGTGAACGAGTTAGTCCCAGGAAAGGTGATAAAGCGTTTGATCCTCACCGCAGACACCTGCGGTCCGAAGTTTTGCAAATATCTCAGCCCCATTGTGGTTGTACCAAACATAATACCCCGCCGTTAAAAATCGTAGTAGGCAGTAATTAAAAAGTTAACATTGTGATTTCAATACTCGCTGTTGGTTTTTCTCATCTCTCACTATTGTTCCACACCTAACCAGTAAGATCAGCACATTGCGAGAACATTTCTATGACTAACACACATAAATACTGTTATAAACAATAGACGACTAGCTGATGACAGCCCAAGAAGTGAGGCTAAGCACAGATCCAACATCGACACGGAACTAACCCTGAACAACTGTGGCACTCTCTGACCACCTACAAAGCGACGATCAATGGTTCGAATCGACTGCTCTGTCGTACATCTTGACCACGTCTTCCGTCAGATTCCTCCAACCTGAACTCCTTTCCCTGCTCTCCTCCTTCTACTATTTGAATAAAACAGAATGCGGGACTGCGAAGTAATAACGACTCCGGCGCCCACTATGGGATGATGCCTTCCACGATCTACTACGATAGAACACTCACACGGCACAGGTTGACTTGAGTTTTTGCTTCACGAAGTTCAGTTGATCCGCCAACGACATGACAACAGGGAGAGCAAATGGTTAGTTCTGGCTGCATATCCGAGTTCAATGCAGTTCGAAAAGCGCCACTGCCGCGCTCCACTGTCGATTACGGCGCGTGCGTCTCGCGACGCCATCGTCTCAACGCTACTGGTCGAGGTTCTCTAGCTTTTCGTCTTTTACCATCTGTTGAGACGTAGGGTTCGTTCCTGCACATATGTTGGGGGATGTTAGAAACTGTTTCAGGTTGAGAATTTGTGGTGGGATATAGACTTTGTCAAAAGTCTTTACCAGATCGCCAATTCTTAGGCTCAGGATCATTTGGAAGCATGTTCGTCGGGATCGTGAACCTCGAAACAACAATCTGTTGACGATATCATAGCTCGGGCGTCCTCATAGTGACCCATGTCATGGCTTGCTGTTAAGACTTCGTCATCGAACCGATGCTCTTCCGTTCACGATGTTACTCTTTGCTGTTTCATTTGATATTTCATTGTTATAAGGACTTGCAGAACATCTCTTTGTGGAAAGAGTAAGTAGAACATTGTCGTTGTGTCTTCTGTTGTCTACAATGGGTTTTCCAGCATTCTTCCTCTGTGAAAGATTGCCTGTAACCGCTTGTTTCTACTTTTACCAACTAGAACGAGCAGTTCAAGGATGTTCTGTACTAGCGCTTTCGTTCTTATCAACCGGATGTATAGTTGTAATGTGTCATCGCCGCATTGGTAACATTCGCGATTCCGAAGCTTCCGTCAAGATTCTAAGCTGGGAAAGAACGCGTCTTAGGTCACAGTCATGGTGCTGGTAAGCAGAAAGGTAAGCCGGATAAATGGAATCAGGAGTACTTGCATACGAAACTCTAGTGAGGGCTCTAGAAGGTGGTGATTACACGGGCTTGAAGTTTACAGTTTAACTGCTTGATAAGAGGGATCTATATCATTGTGTAGTACTCGAAAGACAGCATTTGTTCGGAGCGGTTGTTGAACAGTGGTCGTGTCAAATATTAAGCAGAAGTTAAGAAGCTCTCAACAGACTGAAACACCTTAATACTTTTTTAAATAATAGTGGAACGTCATTATTTGCAGCCACCATCATCACTAGTGTAAGTTTGGCTGTTTCACTGTTCTTCCGACGATGTCTCCACGTCTGAATGTTGGAAAGAGTTCTGCGCATTTGGGTGTCCGCTATGGAGAACATCTTCGCGTCTCTGTTGCGGCAAATCAGGTACTACTGTTTCATTTCATCTAACGTATTGTGTTTTAACTTTATTATTAAGGGTGGCCGCAAGTACATGGAAGATCGTGTCCATATCGAGACTGTTAGGAAAGAAGACGGCTCTATCAAGTTCACATTTTTCGGGATTTTCGATGGTCACGGCGGGCATGAAGCTAGTGAATATGTTAGAACAAACCTCTTAAATAACATAATGGTAGGTTGTATCTATTTTTGGAATATGTATTCGATTACAGTTTACAGTTATCTTCTTATTGGTGTCGTCTTCCAGGGAGATGGGTGGAAAAAACTGATTTTGAATGAAAATTTTCTATTTAGCGTGCTTTTAAGACAATGATGTAGTAGCATTTTGGTTTTATATAAAAGTAGCGCGGAAAAGGTTTTCAGTGATTTCTCGATTAATGAGGCATCTTTTCCCTAAAGATTTGAAGGAAGAACTTTGAATATGTGAAACTGTGAAACCTATAAAAGTAAGATATCCGTTTAACATAACATCGGCGACTTTACCATTACTTGATTTGATTGAATTTCATCTCCAACTTTTTTTAGTTATATGTGATAGCTTTCGCACTAAATCCATCATGTGTACCAGGCGTCGTCCAAAAAACGCTATTTTCTGTAATTTTAGTTTCTAGAATACCGAGTTTTTGTATGTTTGTTCGTCTGCATGAGAATAGTGGCGGCTCCTTGACTTTCGTACTTACGAAGTAGTGCCTAGATTGGCGCGGGAGGATGTACGTTTTCACTTGCTCAACAAATACAAATGCGGGATCCCACTGGTGTTTCCTGCTTATTGTCCAAATAGGGTAACATGGGAGACTGATAAAGTAGATATCTGGCAGAGCTTCCGTCTGCATGTATTGAACTTAATGCGTAGCGGGCGCGGCGAAAACTTGGCCGTTATCGCTGACGTTTTGGGGTGAATGTTATGAAATTGCGTACTGCTTAATATCGCTTTCGATTCTCCATCTTATTTAAGAACACAGTTTGAAACTATTGAACTTGTTTCATTGGAGATCTCATTAGAAGAACCATAGTTGTTCATTCTAACACATTTAATTCCATGGCAGTCTGTCAACAATGAGAAATATAAAGCTCTAACTAGGGTTAAACGTTTGCTTTTAACTTCATTTTACAACTTATCGTTTCTAATGTTTAACCACTTTTTCGTGTTCTTTAAAGCAAAGTGACCTGTTTGATTCGGACGATGACGATGATGTATTGGAAGCTATACGGCTGGGTTTTCTCACAACTCATCATGGCATCTGGAAGGTAGTATGTAAGTGATTTCTTTTCATCAAAGTATGGTTGCCAGGATTTTTTTATTTTATCTCACCTCTTGACCTCTGCTACTACTTATTTTAAAACTTGTACTATTTGACACTGCATTAAGGTTATTTATATCCCATTGTATAACAGGTTCTGTGTAGCAAACTTAGCACTTCTTGTCTTCTATTCGTTTACTCACATCCAGCATTCACAATGGTCTTCGAACATTTCGCGTGTTGTTTCAACCGCTGCGTGAGGATTTCGACTTCTTTATGAATGTCGTAGATTGCGGGTCGAGTAAATTCTCCTTGCAGTCTTAGAGATAGTCGGACTAAGGCGTTCCAGCGTAGATTGGAAGAGAGCGTTAGGGCAGGAATCGACCTTGCACTTTTGCTTCCTGGTCAACGGCATCACTAGCCGCTGCGCTATCCTTCCCCCGTGTATGACGTAGATAACTTGTAATATGCTGGTTCACTTTTTATATCCTCAACTCTTTTAATAAATCTTATTTTTTATTTCACACTGCCCGTCTTTCACGTATACTGTGTGGATCCCAGCCCTTGTATTAGAATAATTTCCTTGCATCCATCATCTGCTAAAATTTTCTAACTTTTTGCTTTTGAGTTTACCTGCTCTTCGAGGATTTTCTTTTTGTCGTGAATGTTGTTAAATGGTGATCGAGTCGATTCTTGGAATCCTGAGATAGCTGAGCTAGAGGGTTCCCATTTGGATTGCGGAGAGTCCCAGGCATCTTTACTACCAATTTACCGATTCCTAAGGAATGAAAAACCGGGATGGAAGTTTTCATCGTAGTCATCTTAATAGAAATTTTCCTAATGTTGTTCGTCTATTTCATATTGCTCATATTGTAAAGAAGTTTTTGCTATATATCATGTGAAATCGTTTCTGACGCTCGCTTCATATACCAACCAAAGAAACTCGTAGCAAAAAAAAGAATTAGCTGCTCATGTGCAAATGTCCGAGGTAGGTTACGAGAATTCGAGAAGATTTAGTAGTTGGTCAGAATATGAGAACTAATTTTTAAAAGAAACTGAAAATCAGGGTACAAAATGAAAGGAAAAGGTTCTGGGAGATTTTCAATCGTACCCATCGAGTTCAGTGCAAACAGAACGCGGTAAAAATTTGGATGTAGTTTCTTCACAGTTTTCTGTATTTGGGCGTAGATGTAAATGTATTACTAGCGTTTTTATTCTTTATCCACTTCGCGTCTAAAACGTTGAATGGAAGTGTCGTTTCAGCAGAATGGCCACGTACCGCTTCTGGATATACTAGCACCGCAGGAACTACTGCTAGTGTGGCAATAATTAGGAATGGAAAGCTGTACACCGGACATGTTGGCGATTCTGCCATCATCTTACTTAAAAGATCATGTACGTTTGTAGGTTTCTTCGTAGGCACTATTGAATAGCAGTCCTAATTATGACTTATTAGCTTGTGAAATTCTGTAGAAATAGATTATATTTGCGTAAATCTAGTTTTGGTTGTGTCGCAATTTTGCACCCTTTTCCAGATCGTAAAGACAATATAGAGGATCTTGTTCCCCACAGATTGACGGTTGACCACAAACCTGAAAGTGAAGATGAGCAGGCGAGAATTCGAATCGCTGGAGGATCGGTAATTTCTTGCGCAACTAGGATACTTTTGCGGTTTCCTCCGAGTTATTTTCTTTCTCAATTTCTTTTTGACGAAGGAGTATCCAGGTAGCGTTGAAAAGCGGTGTTGCTCGTGTCGTCTGGACCCGTCCTATCAGGCACCATACTGGTCCAGTGAGACGAAGTACACCTACTGAAAGCATACCATTTCTTGCCGTCGCTCGTAGTCTAGGTGAGTTAGTATTTCTTTTTTCTTAAAGATTTTTAGGGATTTTGGCGGTCACGCAATATATTTTCGACGGAAATGGTTTGGCTCTAGAATGATTCTAGAGTGTGTGGGAATTATGTGCCTTTACAACCTTTGAATTGTAGGGCAAACGTATAGAAAGAGCTTCATGCCACTGCCCTAAAGATATGTACACATGCATATATAAACTTTCTCCAACTAGCAAACAATTTTCTGAAAGTATTCATTCGTAACTGTTGAGATTCAGCATAATCTGAGATGTGTTTTTTCGTTGTTGAAAGCTCCAACGGCCCACGTTGTTGCGAATATGTTAATTCACTCGTGAGCGTTTCTGATTTTTCGACATTCGTCCTGTGCTTTGAACTCAACGTGCGGTTTGTTGTACTCTTGATATTTAGTGACCTACATGATCTATTTCCACCTGTAGTGTGATGAAAAGGACTCTTTCAACTTTGAACCAGGACACCTCTGCTCAAATTGAGCTTTACTAATTTTATTAAGACTGTTAGAGTCGATAGACTGGCTTTTTGATTTACTGAATCCTCTCCAACCTATTGTGTGCACTTTTTTCGTCGACGCCAATATTTCAGAGGTGAAAATATTTGAAAGAGCTGTATTCCATCCATTAGAACACGATGATGCTCTCAAATGCGTTGTTAATATTTGTATCTGGCGATACAGTGCTTGGATTTATAAAAATTGAAATTTCATCTTCATTCGTTTTGGAAGTTTTAATTTTAAACAACTTCAAAAATCAAATAGCCGTTTCAGACAACAGTGCCTAGTCTTAAATATATTTTGTAATTCGGTCATTTTGCATGCATATTCACTATGTCCTACATGTCGTTCCATGTTTTTGGAACAATTTTAACTCCTTTATATGATGAAGAGATGATCGTGTATTGTTCAGCCACAGTATTCGGTAGTTTGTTTGAAAGTACATGTTTGAGTGTACCTCTATATCCTATCCGAATGATTCCATGCTATCTTAAAGTCTTATCAATGCTTGGAGTTGAGAAAGTGTATTGTTCTCGAGTACATACTTTGTTGAAACCATACTGACGAGAACATACATTGTGTTTTACTACTCTCCACATCGACAATTAACCGTTGCATTGAATCAATGCTTCTATGCTTCCAGACAGCTCTGGTACCAATTTTCCAACCCGGAGAGAAATAAAAGTGCTTTGGAATTGGCCCATATGTTCCAATCTGTACTCATGTGCATTGAAATCTAGACTCTGGTCACGAATCGGTCAAGTCATTTCGTGAAAAGTTTACTGGGGTTCACCCTAAAGGGGGTGCATTTCATTTCGGGTTGAGCTAGAAGCCAATTGTTGTTTCATACGAACACTGTTTTGCCAACATTGAATGAATCATCAAAGTGATTTCTTAGGAGATGTATGGTCGTACTGCGAAGACACTAAAGAGTTCATCGTATCACCGGAGCCAGATCTTGCTGTGGAAGAACTTACTGGTAATTCTGTTAATGAGACATATTTTTTTAAATTTATTCCTCCATTTAGAACTCGCTCTTTATTTGTTTAAAATTTGATTACTGCAAAAGATGACTTCTCGTTTTCTGCCGCTTTAATTCAATGGGTTTGAGTCTGGTTCTTCCAAGTTTTTTTGAATTGGATTTATTTAACTTAGTTAGCAATAACAACTTGTTTCTTCACTATTCCTTACCTTTTATTGAGGTTATTTGGTTTCCACACTTAGAGAAATCCTCCGCACTCATGAGCAATTTTCTTCTCTATTACAAGCGAGGCTGAATAAGAGGTTGCTTTTAGCGTTGATCACCAGAGTTTCATGAAATAAATTGTTCTAGGCGGCGAAATAGAGCATTATTGGGATTGAATGAACATGGTAAACAGTTCTGTCATCATCTAAAGTTTTTTTTGGTTCCTTTCAGTAAATTAATAATTCTTAAGGAGATGATGTTTGCCTGATCCTTGCTTCCGATGGACTGACGAATGTTCTAGGACCAATTCAGGTGTTTATATTTTATGTAGTCACATAGTCTTTACATTTATTCGCGTCTTCGCGTTTTTATTTTGTTATGACTTCAATTTCTGTGGGAGAATTGGTTTCTAGGTTGCTGCGATTGTTGACGAGGAAGAGTCTGTAACACAAATAGGAATTGACAGAAGTGAAGATCTTGTTGTAAGTCCTATGGCAAATTTTTTTAAAAAACCACTACGCATTATTATTTATTTTCAGTATCGTAGCAAACATACAAATTTGGCCAGGGTGCTAGTAGCAAACGCATTTCGGAACTGGCGCCACCTTAGGGCTGACAATGTGACAGCCATTGCGGTTTGTTTCACATCTTATTTGCTAAAGCTAAGTTCTTGTTGCACGTATTCTTTGCAAGTATTCCTATTAATATGTTCTGGCGCTACATGGATTTTTTGTTTAGATCATGCTGGATTCTCCATACGCTGACCTGCCTGTCGACCACTCATGTGTAGAAGAGTACATTGGAGTTAATGAATCAATTGACAAAGTGTTTATCGACGATCCTGAATGCGTAATACGGATTTCTCCATTTAATGCATTGAAGCTGTTTACGTATCGTACACCAATTCTTTACAAAGGAGCTAGAGATCCCAATTTTGCTGGTATTTCACTGTTTTTTTTCCGAAATTTCCATGCCGTAAATAGTTCTTTTTGCAGTCGTAGAGTACGTCGGTCCCGGTTTCATAACCCATAGTGATGAATGTCGTATTGAAGAGCATTATCGCGCATCCTGTATGGACACAAACTACACCGGTGTTATGGAAGAAATTGCACCTGAATCAGTACTTCCCTTAAACCCAAAAATAGATCCCAATATTATGTGTTCAGATTTAAATGCACACTCAGACAGCACTCCTACATGTGATGTAAGTTTTATTGTACAATTTGATTCAGCGTTGTTTTCAAGTTGAGCGTTTTAAGACATTCGATCATCATATCAACGGTTTCCAAACAAATAGTCTTGTGAGTAATGGAAGTCGCGAAGGGTCAGCAATCATAAGGAATGAGGTGGTTCGCCATTTAAGCTTAAAATGTTTACAAAACTTATGAGTTTGCATGGTAAACTGCCTAGAAATGTTGCACTATTCAGGTAAAAACAGTCCTTAAACATCCTATTAGTGATGAAGATGAGACAGATGAGGAGGAATTGCGACCACTACAAGTTACACCTGTTAAGGTTGGAACTAAAATATGACTTAGAAACGCAAGTTTTGAAACTATTAGACGTTCAAATTTTTTTCTCCTTGTTTTCTTCAGCGTCCTGCAAAATTGATTCATGCCTCAGAAGATTCTGTTGTAGCAGTGAAGCGTGTAACTAGATCAACGTCCAAAGTCCTTGTAGAGGTACATTGACTAACACCTAGTTTGTATGAATTTCCTTCTTTCCTGTCTGTTTTATTTCGTAGGCATAGTTCTTTAGAGTCACTCTTCATTATTACCTGATAAGGTAGTGCCGCGAAGGTCAACGGCAGTCACAAAGAGAGGGCCGTGTCGGTCAGGCTGCGTCAATGTTGAAAACGAGGTGGATGCTTTAGAACATTTTCAAGAGATAGTTTCATCTCACTTCATTAATGCTTCTGTATTTTCCAGGTATTAACTCCTTCGGGGTCGGTTGATATTAAAATTCATGTGAATAGTTCCCTCACACCAAGTTTTGGAATGATCACTAGGTAATTCTATTTGTGCCGTCGTCTCTTTCATTGACACTACTTAATTTTAGTCGTAAATATTACTTATACATGACGTTCCATCGGTATTTTTGAATTGCCGTCTCTGTTGTAGTAATGGTACCTATATCCAAATTCAATGCTTTCAAGGTCACGCGATCGCAATGCAACGACATTGGTAGTTGATGTACGTACCTCACCTCAGCGTTCTATTGGGAGAAGCACTAATTCTTCGACGGTGCAATATAGCTCAGCCTTTAAAGAATGTTCCTCACACGATTTATCAGTGGCATCGAATGGAAACAGGAAAAGACCATATCGTGTACTCGAGAGGGAATACAGCGGCGTCACACCAGTTGTTCATCGTCTTAGTTTGGAAACACCACGTCAATCATGGAATGATGCCAATGATATGAGTACAGTCAATGCACCTTCAAAGGTGCGTAGCGCCCCATCTACTCCATCAAAGGTTTATCGTTTTAATTCATTACCAGAATGTCAAGTATGCATCAGTAACTATAGTAATTTTTTCTAGTCTGATGGCTGCACCAGTAGAATGGGCAGTAAATGGTCTTTGTCAAAGTTGGATACGAAATCTTCACTGAGAGAAAACTCTACAACAAACATTGAATTGAGTGAGCCCCCATCAAAGATGCGTCGGATCTATGGCTTCGTTCGTCGTCTTGTTAGCTTTGGATTAGGAAATGGGCAGTAACATGTGAGTTCTAATAAATGTCGAATTAGCTAACTTATGTTCAATTTTAGGGACTTTATGGCTAGATGAAAGCTTGTTTGTTTCTTTTTAGCGCAATGCAATTTTTTACCAAGTGACTACTTAAAATTGCAGTCCTCTCATTGGTACAGAGTTTGCTGAGTTATCTGCATAAGTACGATTTTAATGCGCAAAGTATACTGGTTATTACTAGATATTCCAGTATTCAAATATATTCATAACTTCCTTTAAAACTTTGGAGGTTCAGAAAAATCTCCCCAGTTCTTGGTATTATTACTCTGCAACCTATACCGATCAATATTCTGGCATACAGTCCACGTTTCGGTCTTGTTTGCATATTTTGTATAGTTTAGTGTATAGTTTAGCATGGTCTAAACTTTTAAATAACGAAGCAGTCCTTCTGTGAAACGTCATTACACGTCATATTTAATTTCTTTCTGAATATTTCCTTGCAAGTGGCTCTGAAATGAATGCAATAATTATCTTCAGGTATGGACAAAATTTTGTTACAAAGGCAGTGGAAATAGATGACATGCTATTATTTCCATTGTGTTCCTGTCTCTATTTGGACGGTGCTTCTTTGCACATA